TTGAACTTTAAATATCTTTTCTTCTAAAATCAACCAGGATAAAAGAGATTTAACAATAAAACGTAACTGTACAGTGCAAGCTAATTCAGTATGAACAAGAACATGACATTCAGTTCATGGTGCTGTATGTAAAATTACATTGTTTGATTCTAAATCTCAAAAAGCACCCACTCCCAAATTGCACGCCATCCCCATCCTCAGGGCTGCTATTAACAGAATGAAGGGAGGAGCTACATGTGTGGCTGGCTAGCATTGCAACCAGGATGCAGAAGGCTCCCTTTCTAAAAACTGCAATCTGTGGGTGGATGGCTTCATCCACATGAAGAAATTGGGATCAGGAGAGGACTGCTGAATGCATAATACAAATTGAAATTACCTGTGCTACTCCAAGAGTGAAAATAAAAAGCTCTGCAAATGGAATACTAAATATAGTAGCATTCAGTGACTGGGTTCACATATTGTGTTGTTTTTGTAATGGGTTATTAAATAATTTATGTTACATAAACATAAGCTTCTTTGGGTTTATGTTAGCATTTCATGTAAGTCCTGTTAGAGCAGTGGTTCTCAACCTGTGGGTCGGGACCCCATTTGGGGTCGATCGACCATTTCACGGGGGTCGCCAAGCAAGGCTGTCCGCCATTTTTTTTGTCCACCATTTTTTTTGTCCGCCATTTTTTCCCCTTTTCCTGCGGGTGCTTTACCTCCCTTGGGCTGGGCCAGCTGGTGGTCGGCCTGCTCCGTCTCTGCCGCTTGGCAGCTACGCCTCGGCCGGCGCAGGGGGCGGAACCGCGCATGCGCGGCACTCCCTGGCAGGGAAAGTCCTCGACTTACGACCGGTTGGGTAGTCCTCGACTTACGACCGGTTTAGTCCTCGACTTACGACCGGTTTAGTCCTCGACTTACGACCGGTTTAGTCCTCGACTTACGACCGGTTGGGGTCACAGCATTAAAAAGGTTGAGAACCACTGTGTTAGAGATTGACACATCTATTTCTACACGTGAACATTGCTGACCTGCAAGAATTTGTCCCAAGCAATTCTTAATGAAGCAGGTTTTAGAACTATAACAGAAAGAATATTTATTGAAGGAAATACATTGCGGTGTAGGCAAAACTTAGGATTTGGCTATATTCTACTAGGAGAAGAATCCAGGGGCAGGTTCTACATGCATTTTTGTCTAAGAAGAAAGAGAACTGACATCAGATTTGACAAGAAGCAAGCAGAATTATGGTCAAAGAGGGTACACAGGGCACACTCTTAATCCATTACTGTTTTCTGTATCATGTAATGTTGAACAACCAGTTCAATTAGATATGGATCTTCAACCTCCCTATTCACTGATTTGTTAACCTCCAACTCCCATTGTGTCTCAAAATGGTTCTGTGTTGATTTCTGGGCAAAGGGTCAATAAATCCATCTGCCAGGATTTCTTATGATGAGTTCTCTTAACACTTCTAAAATAGTGGTTCTTGGGTCTATCTGCATTTAGATGTACTTTTTTCCATTTGAATATATCCTTGATTGACCCTAGGCCAGATTATTGACATGGCTCATCTATCCCGAAGCTCATTAAAACTTTATGTAGCTACCAGCTTTTTGTGCCTTTTAGGTATTTGATTAGGACAGACATGTCAAACTCACGACGTCACGTGATGTCACGCAACGTATCGGGACTGTTTTGCCATTGCCAATGGGGTGGGCGCGGCTTCCGCATGATGCATCTGGCCTGCGGGCCCGCAGTTTGACACCACTGAATTAGGAGCTTCTTCAAAGCTTATGGTTGCTGCTTGCCTAGATATGGGGAACTCCAACGCAGACAGGAAACCAAAACTATGAATAGCAATAGTTACTTTACAGTAACAGAATTTTGCAAGTCTGAGAGCACTGCCCCCTTCCTTGCCACTACTTTCCAGAGAACTAGAGAAGATATTTTCTGAGACACTTTGCCCAGCCCCATTCTTCCATTGTACTCAAATTTCATTAACCAGACCACTGTCTGGGCAGCAGCTTTTCCTTGTCTCCTGAGGTTATTTTCACAGCCAATTCTATCTGTGTTTCGTTTCTCCATCTCATCAAAATATGCAATACAGGGTACAATAATATGTATGGCAGGATCCTGTATTTCTTGAAGTATTGTTCAGTGTCATGAATGAAGGCAAATATACATGTCCCAGAATAATGTTGCAGGATCCAATCTAGGTCGGTCACCAGGAACAGAAGTTTAGTCTTCCGAGTTTTTGAACTCATGCTGGAGCCATCCCCATTCTCTCCAGCAGAGTGTCTAACTGTAATAAGCCCTCAGGGTCAGGCCTCTGAGGTACTTTGGTTCTGAGATAACTTGCACCTAGGGATGAACAACTATTGGACAATTAGGTCCCTTTGCTGCCACCACCCCTTTTTTATAAACCAGTTCTCCTCTTCTCACCAGCCCTCTGGGAAACCAGAAGAGGATTGAAAGGAAAATCATTGCCCCATCCCAAGTCTAATAAATATAGAGTTGACATTACGAGATTGAATTATTCAGTATTAGCAATTGGTATTTTAGAAGCTGTTAAAACGTAGGCTTCATATTGAGTTGCCAAAATTTATTTTAACTGGATATACCTAGATTTTTGTGTCGATGCTAAAGAAACTTGTTTACAGCTGCTGAAAAAAAAATCATTAAAATAATTGATCTAGTGTAAATTATACTCTTTTGCATCTATTGTTTCCAGTAAAAACTTTATCACACAATAATTCCAGGGCTTTGCACATAGCTATCCACATCCATGTGCTCTATGCATGGATGTCTAAGAAGAAAGCCAAAAAGAAGCTACCTCAGGTTAGCAATCTTAGAGAAAGAGCGGGCAAAGTGATAAAAAAGGAGATATAGAGTAAATAGATAATTATCTATCTATGCTGTATTGTCCCCTTGTGGCAATAGTTACATTGTAAGGAGTCTGCACCATTGGATTCATATGTTCAACAAACATAATTCTTGTGTTTTATAAATCATGGCTTGTGATGTACTATATACCCGATCATAATAATTTGTACTCAAGGCTAAAACAAACTAAGTACTATCAGTGGGTAAGCTTACGTCCTTACTATTATATTTACATGGATTCTCCCTAAAAATTTTTTACATTTATATGTTTTAAAGAGCTAGAGATAACATGTATATTCACAATTGGTTTTTGCATATAGCAATAGCATTTAGACTTATATACTGCTCCATAGTGCTTTACAGCACTGACTGAACGTTTTACAAATGTCGGCATGTTGCCCAATCTGGATCCTCATTTTACCAACCTCAGAAGGATGGAAGGCTGAGTCAACCTTGAGCTGGTCAGGATCAAACTTCTGGCTGTGGAGTTAGCCTGTAACCACTGTGCCACCACGGGGTGTGTATGTGTGTGTGTGTATATATATGCATGTATATGTGTGTTTTATATACGAGGGCAATTCAGAAATAAATCTGTTTGGTTATCAATGTCAGACACTCGCAGATACCGAATTTGTATTATACACATTAGAAAACTACATTACTTTTTGACATAATCACCATTCAAATTGAGGCACTTGTCATACCGTCTCACAAGGTTTGAAATTCCTTCTGCAAAAAAATCTCCCACCTGGGACTGAAGCAACCCTGTAACAGCATTGTGAAGCAGTCATCATAGAAGCAGTGCAACTCAAGCCGCTGTTTCATTTAAAAAACTAGTTCATTTTCAATTGATCTAGCGAACAAGTCAACTGCAAACCAATTTTCTCCTTCCACTCTTCACTGCCTACTTAACTACTGCACTTGGTGCCATAGGACAGGCGTCGCTATCCCCGCTTATTTCTCGCACAAGCTCAAGAGGTTTATTTCCCAATTGCCCTCATATATATTTAAACACTATTGATGAATATACATGTTATGATATCTGAATATGATATTTATATCACGATGGGGCAGTAAGGAGGTAACTTTTCCCCCTTAAACTTTAGTTTTATTTTATGGATTTTTAAAGATATGGGAGGTTGCAGGAAAAAAAAAAGGCTTGTCAAAGAATGGCTATGAAGCATGGGGAGCAGAAGTGTGTATGTCACACAACCTCCCTTTCACCCCTCAACTGCTGTAGTTTATATGGTCCAATTGGTATATCTGAAGTAAGATTAAACTATCCAGTTCTGATTAGCTTATACTTTTGGGGGAGAGGGAAATGTCACCTTTTCTGTAGAGAACATTTTAACTCCATGCTTGCTCTGTGATTGGCTTGAGTTCACACATTCTGCTAAATCCAAACCAGTTAAACCACATTAAATTTTAATCCATCCCTCTCCGAGTTTTGAAGCCCTCCAGAATTGTGGATTTCTATTTCTAAAATTCCCAGTAATGGCCATATTGGCTAGGGAATTCTCAGAGCTTACCTTTGTACTTCAAGAGGGCACCATCCTTTGGGATAGCTGGCTTAGTCATTCTCAGTTGAGCAAAAGTTTGATCATCCAGGAAATTTACTTCATCCCCCACTGCTTATGATAAATTTATGATACAAGAGTCTTTCTCTTGCTCTGTCCAGTATTCCGACAGTTTTTTGAAGCATATATCTAATTTCTAAGAAAAACGATATTCTACCCATCTATTTCTTTCTAAGGATGCAGAAGTAATTTCTATGGCCATAAAGAAGTTCTCATGAAAACAAAGCCAGATTCCTTTAACCTGAATGTCAATAGAGTTAAAAGAAATGACTGAGCACTTCATCAGTCTGAGAGTTTCTTGTACATTATTGGCTGGCACAATGAAGAATCTTAGGTTTAAAAAATGATCTAGGAATGCTGCCATATGAGGAGCATTACTGATAACAGTAAGGTCAATAGCTGTTTCAGCAACAATTCCTGAAAAATCTGAATGTAACAGTTTGTGCTGTATAGCTTCCCAATAGACAGTTCTGCCAACTTCATAAGAAATGGAAAGGGAATATATGCTCTGGACCCAATTTCTATGTAGTCATAAAAGAACGTTTACTTCCAGCATAATTCTCTGTATGTTTATTCATCAAAGAGCAAACAAACCAGTTCATGTTTTAGCATGATGAGTGATCCAGTAAGATAGTCCCCATCGTAAATAAGAAAGCTTATTCTAAATAAATGAGTTTATAAAATTCAATAAACCATTAGGTGGGTTGTTTTGTTTATGACTTAACACGATGAACAGATTCAGTTATTGTAGACAGTAAAGCATGGTTTATGACTCAGACTGATATATGAATTAAATCAGTGTAATCAATCAGAATTTTGTTCTGTAATATTTTTAATATAATGTGAGCTTTGTTAAGTTAAAAAGAGTTAGGAACTATTGCAAAACCTTCCACACATAACTACTGGTTTTTTTCCCATAATTCCACATTCATCAAATTCCTTGTTTTGTTCTTGCCTTTCAAAAGTCTTTAATGAAGGTCTGGCTACCAAACAGAAACATCACAATGGTTGGATTCATACAAGAACTATTCAAACTATCCAAACATATGCCATATCTTATAAGGCACATAGCACTCCCCAGGCTTGATTTGTTTAGCATGATATCCAAATAGAAACTCTTTATTGTCTTCCTCATAAAAGGCAAGTAAAAATGAGAGGGTTTCTCATTTTGATTCCAAATAAGAACCAATCGATTCTGCACACATGGTCAAGGAAATTTTAGTCACTCTCACTCTGGAGTACTTAGCTTGGGCAAGACACATCTGAATTCTGGCTTATTTTTAAAGGCAAGAGCAAATAGCCTAAACCAGATGAGTCCATTTTCAAAACAAGGATGAGTAAGAAATGGTCCCACTGCCAAAAAAAAGAGTAGCTTCAAGACAAATATACCGTGCACTGTATGCACTGAACTGTAAGAATGTAAACTTTGCTTTCACTATAAATAAGACCTGCGTTCAATACACAGAAGTTGTTGAAATTTGTTCATAGTGGCTATGCTGCCTTTTCTATAATAAAACTACTTTTCAAAACTTTGTGTATCTCAGAATGCCTGTTGTGCCTGCATCCACTTCAGTCTGTTGAAAGAAGTTCAGTGTGGAATACACTCATAAACATTTCTACAGCTTCTTGCATTTCAACAAGAAATAAGGCTAATTGTACATGACACTATAAGCCATAAAGTAGCTTGTTTGCTTTTGGATTAGAATGATGTATTAGATCTGGATGACATCTTAAAAGCCAGACCCAACATGTTTATAATCCACTATAATGCTTCCTTACATTGTTCCTGTATGTAGAGAGTATATCTTGAGACTATGCCATAAGAATTTCTCTTTTGAGATGTCTTTGATGTTCTCTGAGCTTGGTCATTTTCTTGCAGATGTTTCATTACTCAAACTAGGTAACATTATCAGTGCTAGTCCTGTATTTGGATTGAGGAACCTTTAAAATACTATTTTAAAATAACATTTTGTGTTTACTGTAATTGCAAATGGCAAAATAAACAATAAAAGAAGAAATTCTAGGATAAGAAATCAGAGTTTCAATTTTGGAAGATGCTTCACTCCTGCTGTTTTTTTAATTGGTCCCTTCTTTGGGTCCAGTATTCTTTGATTTCTTGGAATATTACACTTTCTCCTAAAATATAAAAAAAACAAAAGAAAATTCAGAAAACACACTTTCACTTGCCTGTTGCTATAGAAACATGGCATTTTATGATAATTGTTATACCACTATTAGATAGCAGGGCTATAGCAAAATGGCCAACCACATTTGCAGATGGCAAAAAATATGGAACATATACTGTATTTTTTAAGAAGGGAGACAAGAGTAGATTTTGGCTGGTTTTGAAATAGATGCATAGACTTTTACAGTAACAGCAACCTCCTCTTAAAGAAACCTTTTAGCATGGCTGTCATCAATGACAGTAGAAGCATCTATTATTCTTTCCCCCCCTGACACATTTTTACAATTTCATCTATGACTGGATTGGATCTGAGCAATGTTTTATTCAAAACTGTACAATAATGCCAGCTGTGCAATACTGGGTTTACTCTTGGAGGGAAGCACTTAGGCATTAAACCTGGACAATAAGATTTTCCTTCTATAACTTAAAATAGGTCACATTAAGCTATAATGAAATTATTTCATTTGAGCTTACTGTAATGTGTGAATCTAGGCCATTATGGTTTATAAAGTATAAATGACAGCACACAGAAGCAAGACTGATAGCTTGTTAAATAATCCTTGGTCATAACAAACTGTGGCTTAGTATGAAGTGAGAATAAAGGCAGTAAAAAGAGAGTGTTTTTAATTGCCTCCAGTGAGGCCTTAGAAAGCATGGATTTTTTTAAAATGTCAAGTATTCTCTGGAGAAAATAATCTCCCAAATTCTGTGTTCTTGCACATAAGCTACCCATATTCTGAGCTCTTTCCAAGAAAGCATGCTGCTTGTTAGAAAAGTATTTGAGCCTATCAGCATATTGCATTATTTCCCATTTAGAAGCTTGCCTTTAAATTTGACATTCAAGTTGGTTTATACTAGAGAAAAACAGCCTACCACAGAATTGCAGGAGAGAGTTAAGAGTCAAAGAAGTTGAAAATGACGATCATAAAAAACAGGTGATACACACTGTAGTGGCCACCATCTTAATTTTTTAAACAATTGATTTCTACATCCTAAGGATTTTTTTGCTCATATATATGCAGCTGCCTCCAAGATGACCTCCAAGGTCCCTTCCAACTTTATCATCATCATCATCATCATCATCATCATCATCATCATCATCATCATCATCAATAATAATAATACTGACATCCAGATAGTTCTTATTAAAATTCTTTATAGGTCCCTAAATAAAAATATTACATTGATCTCCCAATTTTGTGAAAAGAATGTTTACAAAATAATAATAAAATGTAAGCTGTTTCAATTGTGTTTGCTATTTTAGTATAAATACGCTAGTACATTTAGTTGAAAAACCCCAAAAAGCTGACCAAAAAATCTTAATCTGTGTCTAGCCAGGCTTTTAAATTGTAACAGATGAGATGGCTAGATTTAATTTTCAAAATGGGACATTTAATTCTAGTTCTAAGGATAATCATGAATGCAATAATTATTTGCTTTGAGCAGGTTAGGCACACAAATACCACATTCCAAAAGTCTTGCATTCTAGACCCCTCAAATGGGTTGGCTCTTTTCATGATGAATATTTAATAATAGAGAAATAGACTACTTTTTGTGGTATCTATATAATTAAAAGACTAAGTCTGACTTTTACAAACCTATATAAAGTAATTAGGAGGTGGAGTAGTGCCATCCTAAAATTATCCACATTATTATATAAAAGGGATTTGTGCCATCTATAAGATGTTAAGATAAGGTAAGAATTAATGTCTCTAAAAAGTGGAAGCTGAGATAATTCATTATTTTTGGTTTTGGTATCAGCTATTTTAAAGTAAAAATGTAGGCTTGAATTTAGCATCATGTCTGCAGACCCATAAAGCCATTTTTGCCTTGCACTAAGTTTTA